AGACAGCTGGGAGGTGTCTTGAAGGCACGAGGGGGCCAAATTCAGAACACATTATCTGTCTGCTTGCATTTCAGGTCCCTTCTGGGTCACTGTGCTCCAACAAAACACAGAAACGGAGCGAGGCAGAAGGGGTCTCCTGGGCCATCTAGTCTGACCCCTGGCCGCAGCCAACTCCGCTCATGACATGCCCACCATGTGGACGTCCAGCCTATCCTTGAACACCCGCACCGATGGGGCCTCAACCACCTCCCGGGGAAGCCCATTCCACACCCTCGGGGTCCCGACTGTCCGGAAGTGCTTCCTGGCATCCAAATGGGACCTTGGCTCCCTGAGCTTGGCTCTATTGGAACACATCCTGCCCTCTTCTGCAAGGGAAAACAGGCCTCGATCCACCTCCGTGTGACATCCCCTCACATACTTGTATGTCGCCAACAGATCCCCTCTGAGTCTCCTCTTCTCCAGGCTGAAGAGACCCAGTTCCCTCAGTCTCGCCTCATATGGCTTCCCCTGCAAACCGGCCACCAACCTTGTGGCCCTACACTGCACTGACTCCAACCTGGCTATGTCCTTCCTGTAATGTGAAGCTCAGCACTCAACACAATACTCCAGTTGTGGGCATACCAGGGTCATACAGAGCGGTAGTAATGCCTCTCTCTAACTAGAAGCCACGCTTCTGGCTATGCAACCAAGGGTGGCGTTCGCCCTCTTGACCACCGCATCACAAGGCTGGCTCATGTTCAGCCTGCAGTCAACCAGCACCCCGAGGTCCCTTTCACAAGTGCTGCTCTCCACACATTTGTCCCCTAACCTGTATTTATGACACCCATTCCTATGCCCCAAGTACAAGACCTTGCACTTCTCCACATTGAACGCCATCCTGTTGTCTCCTGCCCACTTCCATAGTCTGTCCAGATCCTTCTGGATCCTGAGTACCTGCTCCTCAGTTGTGGCCACTGCTCCAGTTTTAGTGTCGTCTGCGAATTTGATCAGCAGACTGGTCACCACCTCTTCCAGGTCACCACCTCTTCCAGGTCATTGATGAAAAGAGTAAACAGGATCGGTCCCAGGACAGAACCCTGGGGGACACCACTTGTCACTGGCCGCCATCCTGATGATTCCACACTAATAGTTACCCTTTGCCTTTGGTCAGTCAACCATGCCCTAATCCACTGAACATTGCACGAGTCTGTCCCAAAATTCCTCAATTTCTCAACCAGGATGTCATGTGGCACTTTGCCAAAGGCCTTGCTGAAATCCAGGTATACCACATCCACTGCATCCCCTCCATCCAGCCATCTTGAAACCTTGTCATAGAATTCCACAAGGTTCATCTGGCAGGACCTGTTTTTGCGGAAGCCGGGTTGTGTGGCTGCCAGCCTCCCTTCCCCATCTAGGGTTTCTCACTATTATAGGCCTTTCAATTGTCTTAGAATGGGCATAAAGCTAACCAGTCTGTAATTCCCCATGTCCCTTCTACTACCCTTTTTGAAAATTGGGACCACTGACACCACACTCCAAGCCTCTGGAACCTCACCCTTTCTCCACAAGGCCTCAAAAATGGCGGCCAACGGGTGCAAGAGTACCCCCGCCCACACCCAAAGTACCCTCAGGTGTAACCCATCAGGGCCTGGTGCCTTTGTAACATCCAGTGCCCTGAGGAGCTCAGCTTCTAGAGGGGTGCCCCTAAATCCCCAGCTTCATCCAATCCCCCATCTTGCAGCACCCCCCTCACAGAATCTGGCCCCAGGACGGAGTTCCCGAACAGGCCGGTGCCCCAGGTCACCATCAGCCCCAGCCTTCCCAACAAGAGCCTGCAGGTAGGCCCTGGCTTTGTGGCAACCCCCATGGCAGATGTACAGCTTCCGTTTACCCACCACCGGCTACACTGTCCTCTTGCCAGTCTTTCCCCCAAGCCAAGCATGAGGAGCTCCTCAGTGGAGAAGCCTGGGATGGTCACCTCTCCAGCAGAGAATCATAAAACTACAGTAGAGTTGGAAGGAGCCAGAGGGCCACTGGGCCCAATGCCCTGCTCAGTCCAGGACTCCCAGTTAAACCATCCCCTCAGACGGCTGTCCAGCTGAACCTCAGATGCCTCCGGTGTGGGAGATCCACCACCTCCCGAGGTCGCGGGTTCCATTGCTGTGCTGCTCAAACAGTCAAGAAGCATTTCCTGGTGTTCAGTCAGAACCAGCTTCCATCCCACAAAGACCTCAAAATGGAAGCCCAGGAAAGGAAGAGACTTCATCTCGGAGCAGCAGCGTGGGAGGCTGTGGACAGAAACACCCGCTAAGGCGGAGGGCACAGTGGCAGCCCCAACCCAGGGAGGGAGGCAGTGCAGCCACGGCAGGACAGCTGGGCCAGGGCGCAGCACAGCGGCAGGCTCTGCAGGATGCGGGCAGGCTCCCTTCAGCGGAGGCAGGTGCTGTAGGCCGCCTGGGGGAGGG